GCAAAAAAAGTTTTGAATTGTGTGTGGCTTTTACAAATACAAATGTGGGTGATAATTATGTCTAAGCAATTGTTTTATCTGTTTAGATACCGAATTGACTAATGAAGAGAGATTTATGGTCGAAATGTGCATCTGGTGCAGAAAAAAATTGGTATTATACAAGTAACAAACAATGACTTACATAATAATCGAAATACAAAACAAAATCGTTTCTAAAATATTGATACAGTAATATTAAGACAGATTGGAGAGCTTTACAATTTAAACAAAATTCAACAATAACCGACCCCTCCGATAAGTCTCCAATCGTTATTGACTAGAATTGTCAGTTTTTCTACCGAATATCGGTAGTCAATCAATCAATCAAAATCACCGATAAAGTTTAGGTTTAAACAAACGTAAATAATAACAAACAACTCATGGTCAAAACTTGAGCCAACAAGAAACAGTTTTGATGAATCTGGTATCAACCAGTTGTAATTTCTATATCAAAGTCTTCTTATGGTTCTCTATCAAAATGTTTAAGCCTATATCTCTTTTTCAGTTTGAATCTCGGATTGTATGTTCATTTCTTTTCAGCATTTCTGTTGCATTTGTTCAGCATTTCTGTTGCAATTTTTCAACATTTCTGTTGCATTTTATATGTTCCTACAACCTCACTACCAAAGAAATTGTTGACGTCTTTTAACAATTCACGTATTTTCTTATATATCATATTTTGTCAAATGAGTATCAATAATGCAATACTTTCAACTGAATAGATCCTAAAATTACAATCATCATAGATACCAGGTTTCAAACTATGTATTTGCAAGACGCGCGTTTCGTCTACAAAAGACTCTTTAGCAAAATTCGAATCAAAAAAGTTAAAAAAGCCTTTTAAGGTACGAAGTTGAAGAGCATTTAGGACCCAAATAACCAAAAGGTTTGCCAAGATCAGGTTATTGATATTGGGGAAGAACATTCTAAGCAATTGAAAAAAAATTGTAAACAGTTAGTTTAAAATTATGATCGTATCAAAGATAATTCATTTCATCACAGAAATGCTGAATACTGGGCTGGTGATACCCTCGATGAGGAAACCTTTAGCAGGAGTGGCATCGACGGAATGGTTGTAAATAAAAGTCAACACAGATGACCAGGATGATAAAAAAATGTATTTTCCAGACGCGGATTTAGTCCACTAAAAGAGAGGCGAAAGATACCAAAGGGACATTCAAACTCATAAGTCGAAAATAAACTGACAACGCCATGGCTAAAAAAGAAAAAAAAAAGACAAACAGACAAACAATAGTACACACAACACAACATAGAAAACTAAAGACAGAGCAACACGAACCCCACCAAATACTGGGGTGATCTCAGGTGCTTCGGAGGCGTAAGCCGATCCTGCTCAACATGTAGCACCCGTCGTGTTGCTCATGTTAGTACAAACCCGGTAATAAGTTTAATTCGATAGGTCACATTCGGGAATCAAGCTCATCAGTGACGTTTGAATTGAAAATGTCTGTAAAAAGTCAAATTAAGTACGATACGTTCTTTATAAAGAAAAGTAAAACCAGTTTATTTATTGTAAATTATGATATGCATGTTTTGTGCAAACAAGTTTGTCTTAGACTTGTCGTTTCATCAGCACAGTCGATTGAAACATAAGGTCAAGCGACTTATCAATTAAGTGTTACTTGCGGGGTTTTTGTTTCTAAACTTAAGTAATATTTGAAATGATTTATTGAATGCTATTGGTATTTTCTTTCTTTTGGCCCTGATGTTTTTTATCGTTTTGTATCGCTTCTTTCGTATTTTAAATCATTTTAAACAGGCAAAAAATACCAATCTCAAAGTAGGGTTGTGTTTTATTATGCACTGCCAAATATATACAGGACTAATTGGAGTTTTAATTAAAGCACATTGACTGCTCGTAAACGCTACTCATATAACTACTTGCTAATTTAAGTAGCTTTCTTACCTGAGAGGATTTTGTTTCATAATAAGACATTCACTTAAAAATTGAAGCATAGTGAAAATTTTTGATTTGCTTATGTTAGTCCTGAAGCATTCACATAAAGTGCATATACGCTACCGCCATTGTTTTCACGATATTGCAAAAGTTTTGGGATAACGGATATATAGGAACTTAGTTGACCACCCGCTTTTATAAAATAACCATGAATGTTCGTCATCTTGAGTAATCAATCATACTTTATTGCCATTCTACTTTGATAATTGTTTTTGTTATTTTCTATCAGGATTGGTAGTCAATACCTTTTGATAAAATCGTAGAAAAACAATATGGAGATAATGTAGTACGATTGGAAATGAGAGAGCTATCCGTCATAAGATAAGGATGTAAATAAAAACGTGTTATAGTTCGACTTTCGACAATGAACGAAACCTATTAATTACAATAAGCTATGCAATACCCTTGGATAAAAAAATATGTACCCAAGTGAAAAGAAAAAAAAAATCGACTCATGTGGGGTAATGACATTACGTGATAATCACTTATGCCAATCGAGAGCCATGTGACATTACATTATCCTGGTTTCTGAAAGGCACATACAGAATTTGTTAGGGTTTAACATGTTTGTCAGTGCTCAAAACTTAAGACAATGGTACACAAGATAAAAACCAGAATAATTACTGAACTTTGAATTAATCAAAGGTAAACACCGATGCTTATGATATGTTGAAAATTTATTATATTTCACTATATTATGTCTTTATCCACCAGTAAATACCATTTTAACACAGATTTCTGAAAGGTAAAAATTATATCATGCGGGATGTATAAATTCCCAATAACGTCCGGTTAAAATGGGTATTTTAAATCCGATGCATCGCGTAGATTGTGCCACGTTGTGTGCACATGAAGAACCCTTGCAATCATACCTTGAGAGGTCAGTAGTTGACCGGTTTCAATGCTGAATTGCTGTCCCTATCAAACATATCATGTCTTTGCGAGTGGCATTCCAAATATTCCGCAATTATCCTGGTAGATCGCATATTGCAGGACCTTCATATTGTATGCACTAGTATTGTTTATATTTTTCTTTTCCTTAACATGCATGACATTGTTGCCATTGGACGTTAAGCAAACAATAATCACATTATTAAATTGGTTGAAAACAGCTTTAAGACAAAAGGAGAAATTTCAGCTATCGAATTATGAACTCTTCATTTCTATGTGAAAATATCACAGAAACTCCTGTATATGGAGTATATGTCTAACAGTTCATAAAATATTTCAGGGCATGGGTTTGTTTTCATTAATTACTTGTTATAGGATTGCTGCATACCAGAACAAGGAAGCTATTGAACCAAGGTTTCATATTTGTAAAATTGCTTGCAGCTCTTTGAACGTTTTCCTGATATAGTAATTATGTTGGTTCGTGCTGCTCAGTCTCTTGCTCTCCATATATCATGGTATCGTGGTGTTTGTTTTTAATCTTGATTTATAATATTTGATTGTCCAATCTGCTTCTATATTAAGTGTAAAACTATGATTCCACAAATTTTTTAGGAATATGTCTTTATTAAAAGCAAGAATATAGCAATATATCTTTGATAGGCATTATAAAAGAACTGATTAAATAATGAATAAAAATTATGAAAATACACGAACATTTTCCTCGATAGTTCTGACATCTGAGGAGAACTTACAAACGTTTATGATAATATGCATTTCAGAGTATAACGAATAAAAGAAGCACAATGTAATAAAACAACAATGACAATGGTAAAAATGACTAAACTATAATCATAGTTGATTCAAAATATGCATTAAAACAATGAAAATGTATGGAATTGTTATTTGAAATAATGTTGTCTATGAAAATGAACAAATAGCAGTGAAAAAAACAAATATAAGTAAAATAAAGTCATCATTTTAGATACTGTGGATTTATTATTATTCGTTAAATATAAATTTTCGTGGATTTCGTGGTTACTCAGTAACCACAAATTCCAATGTACAACGAATTACACATTTTCTATAAGAATGTATGCAGACTTTGGCCAAACCACGAAATCAAATATCCACGAAAATGCAAGTTTTCCTTAATCCAGGCAAATTGGTATCCACAAAAACAAATGAATCCACAGTGCACACCAAATGTTAACATCCATCCTTTCCGGATGCAATTGCTATTAAAGGGGCATTAGCTGTCAAATTTATGTTCACCTTTTCCATTCAAAAACATTCAAAACGTCTATATAAAAAAAGTCATTTAGAAAAAAAACACAAATCGTGAACTCGTTAAAATGTATCAAAAATTTCCATTGTATTTAAGAATGGTTGTCATATAATTAAGCATCGCGATGATCTCCGTAGAACGTCGTAGGTCATACCACCTGATGTAAAGAATACTATACACATAAATACTACGGCAAGCACGGGCAATTGCATAATGACAAGTTTTCTATGTATTTTAGGTTCCATGCATAGATTAAAAAATATGTAAATCATTATTTTACTTGTATGTGAATGATTTTTTGGAGACAAAAGTCAACAAAAGAGATCTTCCGGTTGCTGCCTTTTTTTTAACTTTTCAATGTTGTCATTCTTTTGTTTTTTTTAAAACTAAACATGTGGACCACGCGTAACTAACCCCCCTCAAGGGTCAATTTGAAGTTCACATGAATACACATTGAAATAAATTGTTGACTTGCAAGCCAATAATACATCGTCTATGTTTTGAGCTTTTTTTGATAAAATTAAACCAAGTTGACTGTTAATAGAGAAATATTATTTCACAATTTTGCTTTTTTTGTCAACTTCGTAGCTAATGCCCCTTTAAATTATATAAATTGTTGAGAATCAACTAAAACATGTACATATCATTAACAATGATAACAAATGATAACAAATGTATTAATGATCTTGTAATAATCAAAGTTAATTAAAACAATACATAACAACAATTAAAACATGCTGATTTTGTGTTTAGCTGGCAGCTATCACAAAGCTGAATAGATAACAATAAAGAAAAACAAAAGAATATGAATACAATTAAATTATCATTATAACTAAAGACCTATAGATAATACGTATATCCATCCTTACCGGATGCAATTAGTATTAATTTATATAAATTGTTCAAAAGTCAGTGAAAAAACACATATATAGCAATCTTGAATTAAAAAAAAAAATCTAAGTATGGTAACATCAACATTACCTTTTTTATAAATTCCCGAAGAAAACAACAACTAACGAACACACCACAAACTATTTATTGTTTGAACAGGAGAATTATAAGCTATCTAAAATTTCATTAGCCTTATATTTGCATATCTTGTTATTGTTTTATCGATGAAAACATTTGAGTTGAATAACATTATGATTGATAGTTACATCATTTTTAATGTTTGAAGGTTAGGGCAAGTATCAATTCTAAAAATACCAATTTCATATCTTACATTCGGAGTTATTATCAAAACAATTCTATATCAGCACCAGTGATCACAGCCTTATAGAATTGTTTTCATTTTCCGTATTATAGTCATTCATATGACATTCTTTTTCCATTTCATAGTTTGCTTTAGTCGTCATTGCATTTTTACTTTTACGGACTTTAATGATTTTTTTCCTTTGTGTATTTTACTATTTTTTTGTTCTTTTATTGTGTTTCAAATTTTTCACCAATTTTGACTTTTCATAGTACATTATGACAACTTATCTTAATTGTTGTATTAACACATGAAAAAGTATAACAAAATTAGCGAACTCCAGTGCAAATCCAATAAAGGGGAAGTCCATAAAAACTGTCAACATCAAACGCTATCAATCAACGGAACAAGTGAAAAACAACTGCCATTTACCTGATTTGGTACACACATTTTCCGTAAAATAGTGGGTTAAAACTGGTTTTAAATGTAAATACACATCCCATTTATATGACTTGTATAACAAACTTTGAACAAATTTACATAAAAAAAGGCACCACTACATTTGAAAAATACAATATTTAATTTATTATTTTGAGAAGAGATGACTGAAAGGTTGATGCACATTACTGCTGTAGACTAGATATTTATGAGAACGAAGAACCACTTCCAAGAAACGACGTAATAACCAGTCTAAAATAGATGGGAATGGTTTAAGTATCGTGAATCAATCTTTATTATAGGTATTTCTATGATTACCAATAACATGAACAATAAGTATCGGACAGGATTTATGTTTTCAAATGTTGAGCAATTTGGAAATGGGAGATAAAATTTAATTCAGTTTTTAATATTATGCTAGGAATGCAATTACCATTATACCCTTTTTAAATTTTTTTTTTAATTTGATTGATGAAAAATCATCTATTTGATGAGAACAATCTTTATACAGCTTCCTACTTAAAAAAAAGGAAAACACATTGTAAGGATTACATCGAATGCAGTTCTTTTTTACTCATAAAAAAACATTTGTTTTATAAGTATTGTTAATTATTGACTAGAGTTTGTAACACAGTAAAATCCAGAATTTGTTACACAGTAGAATCAAGTACTGGCAACAAAACATATAAGTGCACAAAGAATTTGCATTGGTTCGACACGATTCTATTCTTCACCTGTTAAGATATAGTCCTGCGGCTCTTTTCACAAAAAATCTTAAGAATAAAAATACTCGTAAGTCATACACATTTCAGTATAACTTACGATCAATCTTAATCGTAAGTTTTTTTGTGAAAAGAGTCGCTGAAATATAAAAAAAGGAGATGTGGCAATGAACCATATGTCTGTTGAAAAAAATGTTAGAACATGTACATATATCAATCTTTATGAACTGTTATGAACTTCTTTTAAAATGTTCAATTTTCATGTGTCGCTTTCTTTTGATGTAGAATCATTATTTTGTTCGTATTGCATATTGATTTGTCAAATTGAACAGAATGTATAGATCCTATGAACAGTGATTTCTGATCCGAAATCTATAAACAACTTCACTGTGCAGAACAAGCAGAAAATATAAAAAAAAGGTTTATTATTAACATTCAATTAATCTATGTTAATTTGATATTTCAAAATGATGATTGTTATAAGGAGAACACGCACGTATGGCGTACTTACGCCTGTTATTATGATGTGTGTTTACTTTGATAGTAGTTAATTAACCTTCATTAACCATTATACAAAAAGAAAACAACCATGTTTGGTCTATGTGCGGTGGAATCATGTATATTCACTCGAAAAATATGTCTCATGGCAGAAAGAGAATTAGGTTTGTTTTGGTTAATATAATTTTGCATACATTATTGAGATTTTAATAACTAATTTGCATTTAATTGTTCAAATAAACAAAAGTTACCGTATACACATGTATATTTATCGTATATTTATCATTGTATCGACATCAATGTATGCATAGTTTCCTATGTTTGTTGTAATGAATTGAAACAAAATTATTAAAAAATAATTTTACTTTATTTACTTCTAACATATTAATCTGATGACACAGACTGAATGTCAGAATCATCCTCATCTGACGATGACTATCCAAAGTGATGGTCATCATCCTCATCTTCCGTTAGGTCTTCCAAATTCTCCAGAGTTTTGGAACTTTTTGATAACTGAAGTGCAAAACAATATTACATACAATACTTTGTATATACATAGTGTGTTAGTGACCTATTATTAGGTCACTGACACCTTTGTAACGAAATTATCCTACCAACTGTCTTAACATGTGACATTCAGACTAGTGGCCTATCTAAGTGATCAAGTCGTCAATAGTAAGAACCTACTTCCATTGGTCTATACAAAACCAACTGCCAACAATAACCACTTGTTAGCTTTAATGTGTTTTCTGCATTTATTTTCAGTCGTTCATCATCAATTTCTTCATCTGTAAATTTGGTGAAACGTTTCAGATTTTCTTCAACGTCATGTTTATTTTACGAAGGTACGCAACACTGCTGCTTACCCAATATTAAAATAAAACGCGCCCACTAACCCCATTTTAAATATTCAGGGTCTCCACGCGGTTCTCTTTTACCAATCATATTCCTAGAAATGTTTAGGAGGTAAGATAAGTATAAGTATACTCCATGTATGAAGCATTTATTGAAAGATTAAGAATAATTGTAATGTTCAGTGTTTACATGTAGGTTGTCTTTATATCCAGAAATAAATATTTATATTATGTTTGAGTTAAGAATATGAAAAACATCATCCGTCTAAACAAATTTTATTTACAGAGGGAAACAATGGTCAAGTATAACAAATTGCCGATTGCCCCATTATTTTGGAAATGGATTTTCTTTTCATGCAAACGTTTTTGTTTTATAAAATGTCTTTATTACTAAATCATATAGATATAACAATAGTATACAAAGTCATAACAATATCAAACGTCACAGTGTTAACAGACTTTACGTTGATGTAAACACAATTTTAATGTCCGGGTAGCATATTTTCAAATCGAAAAAGACATTTTGTTTCACATCACGAGATTTTGCATTTATTGTCAATTATTGACATCATTAATACTAAAGGTAGGTGGTTTGCCATTTTTCCTATTAAGGATAGGCTCCTTCGGAAAGATATATATACATTTTCGTTATGCTTGAACATATTTAATTTGAATTGTTATCTCCTTGGCATACATTTTATTTTTATTCATTATCCAAAAAAATATTTATGAATAATGTGAAGTCAAAAAATTCCTACGAGGATTTTAGATGAACAAAACATGTACAAAACTACCAAATTGTCGATGGTGATATAACATTTGGAGTTTATCAATTGCAATTAGCTTATTCTACTGAAAATGAAAACTTGTAAATTACCAAATAATCTTTGTATTTATCTAATGACACAATGTACGTCTTTAAACGAGATATGATTAATAAAATAACTTAAACAAGTGAATTATATTATGACGCATCTGTTCCAGTAACTAGCAACCACATGTTCTTATTGCAAAATATTAAAAAAGGTGCGATTTTTTACATACATGAAGATGTTAATCGTGAATGACGTAATACTAAGAGGTCCGGGTAATTGTACACCTTGCGATGAACGAGAATATCTTTAGTTTACCTTATTATTTCGTTTGTCATTTTTTTCGTTCTGTGTGTCTTGTTTTTTGCTATTGGTATCCATTTGTCTCTGTAGCATCTGTTGGATATATTCAAATATTAGCACGTTATATATATGCGTTTGAATTTAATTAAAGATACTTTTACTATGAACCTATTCTAAACAAATAATGCGTTTATGGAAATATTTGTTATCCATGTTGTCAAAAATAACAAAACAATAATAATTATAAAGAAATGAAATGTGTCGGTTGTTTGGTAAACAGATGAACTTGATCCTTCAAAAAGTAGAATTTCTTCACGTATCATTATACCGATTATTGAGTTAAAAGTAACTCATATTTTATTTCGAATTCCCCAGTTTTTTTTAAGGGGATTTGTAAATTCGTGAGGGATTTATAAGATTTTAGCATCAGAAACATCACGCACAAGTCACATGTAACTCCTTTTCCCTCAAATGAATACTCGTCAAATATTTTCTATAAAAGGAAAAAAAAATGTATGCCTTTAAATATGTTGTGATATAATGTCAACTAACTTTGATAAAGTATGTGTGCGCTTAAAACAGACAAGTTTAAGTTGCAGAAACTATCCATTTACAATACAGGTTGTATAAATAAACTAGCTAGGTCATGCGGTTGTGATATAGACTTTTGAAATATATAAGATGTGTATACGTTTTGGAAGTAAAACCCTTCTAACGTTCTATGTCAGTGAAAATAAAATGTTGTCAAATAATTATAGTTTATGCGTTTCAATTTGTTTTAAAATTAAAGCGATGTAAATGTTGCTCAGTCTTTAGATTTCTATGTTGTGTTTTTGTGTACTGTTATTCGTTTGTTTTTTTTCTTTTTAAGACATGGCGTCGTCAATTTATTTTCGACTTATGAGTTTGAATGTCCCTTTGTTATCGTTCGCCTCTCTTTCAAGATAATCGTATATTAAGAACGGGATAATCGTCTCTAAAAGAGATATTTTTAAAATACGAGGACAACCCAAAAAGTATTTCGTTATAAAATTTCGAATAAAACACAAGATAATTTTGTTTTTAACTTTCTTTACATTTTAAATAATTTCATGTTTAGAATAGTTATATACCGTTTGAAATAGAATAATTAATAATTTCTTTTTATAATTTTTAAGTTACTGCAAAATATTAATACGGATAATGACTCTGATATTTTTCAGTTATTATAGTTTTTTCATCTGTTTCCTTTTGTCTCAAATGAGTCCTCATTGAAGACCCTTTTAACGTTAGAACAAAACGCGAGATCCGTATGTGTTCCGTACTCAAAGACTACAAATCAGAAATAAAAACATTTTCTACATTTGATGCGAACGAAGCACCCATGTTTATTTACCTGGATCAGTACCACTGAAACCTAATGTTATATGAGTACTTGCATAGGCAAGGTGCAATATAACTGAACGAAGAGTTAAACAGACGAACGCAGAATAAGGGCCCTGAATCTGAATTTTGATCAACATGAAATCTAATATGCAAATTTTACACAAAGCATGTTGACTACAATAGTATGATAATTATTTAAAAAGTTAAATTTGTACTCCAGTAACATATTTTACTTATGTCAAAGAACAGTGACTTACTATTTTTTTATCGGACGAGGTCGTTTTAAAAGTAAATTAGACTTTGGTTGACCAGCCAAACACGATTAACACCTTTTAACAAATATTGACTTTCATTTAATTTATGTATACATTTAAAAAAAACGACCGAAAGAATAGGACTAAGTAGAATTTAATACCAACCATTGTCTTTATTTCTTTTAACATCTTGTCCATATGGTGCTGGTTGCCCATTATCTAAAAGAAGACTAAAATATAGTGGCATATTTTTCAGTTGCTGATAACTTCTATCGTTACATTTTTGTTTTGTTTAAAGAATATTCTTTAAAGATTTTAAAAAAGTATTTTGCAACAATCAGACAGTTGTTTGTAATTACTGTCATGCATTAAAGAATCGTTACAGCCTTCGAATTTCCAAACTGCATTTAATACATATTATGACTAATGCAGTGACGGCAAATTATCAATACTGCATGTATTAAATGAATCGCCGCAATATACCCTGTTTGTGTTGAGGCGATGTAAAGCAAACACTTATTAATCCATTTAATCAAATTAATGTAACTGTTTTGATTTGCTTGAAAAAATAAATAAATTAAAGAATAAACAGATTCAAGATCGCTATCAAACAGACACTGTTACAAAGTATATAACAGTAAAATATCAAACTATTTTAGAATTCAGCAGATAATTGTGTGATTTTTGGAATAGCATTTTGTACTTTATCATACACCAATTAAATACTGAAAATATGAAAGAAGTTAGGAGCAAATTTTTAATGTGTTGTATAATATCCTAAAAACAGTTTTTTTAGAAGAATTGCAATTAGCTTATTCTACTGAAAATGAAAACTTGTAAATTACCAAAATAATCTTTGTATTTATCTAATGACACAATGTACGTCTTTAAACGAGATATGATTAATAAAACAACTTTAAAAAGAGAATTATATTATGACGCATCTGGTCCAGTAAGTAGTAACCACATGTTCTTATTGCAAAATATTAAAAAAGGGCGATTCTTTACATACATGAAGATGTTAATCTTGAATGACGTAAAACTAAGAGGTCCGGGTAATTGTACACCTTGCGATGAACGAGAATATCTTTAGTTTACCTTATCATTTCGTTTGTCATTTTTTTCGTTCTGTTTGTCTTGTTTTGTGCTATTGGTATCCATTTGTCTCTGTAGCATCTGTTGGATATATTGACAGAAATTTTCAATTATACATATTGAACTGGTAAAGTATTTAGAACATATATCTTTTACAATGAAATTGCCACATAATGGCATAAAATTGAAAATGAAAAAGGAATAACAAGTTAAGTGTCAACTTGCATGCTAAATTGATATAATGAAAAACAAAAAACAAAATAAAAACCACGTAAACGCTTCTGTTAACATATCTAATAGGTCGCATTATTTCTATTATCACAACAGTCACATTGTCGTTAGTTTTTTTTTGTGTTTGCAATGTTTGTGCTTAGCAGCGATCTGATGAGTCAAGCTCTTTTCAACTGTCATTGTTTTTTTTAAGTCGTGGAGTTGAACCATTCTCTAAGCTTATCGGATGGTTTGGCTCCGGCAAATATGTTTAACCCGCGACAATCTGTATGTAACTTTCCAAAGTCAGGAGCCTATATTTATGTGTATCATATTTAATTTTCGTTCCCTTATTTTGATATAAATCAGACTGTTGATTTTCTTGTTTGAATTGTTTTACATTAAGGATTGGCAATACCTTTTAAAGCTTTTTATCAGGTAATGAATATAACAAAAATGTTCAAAACGTGGTTAAGATCATAAATATGTAATATCAATTTTAGTACGAAAAAAAAGAGCTGTACAATTTAATCTAACATTATGTAATAATTAATTTACAGGAATTGACCGCATGAATGATTTTTTTTGTAAACACGGAATGAAGAATGGTGGTCTGGTTGTAAACTTTGGGCAAAACTGTATACTATCCAATTTTTCCACCCATTGGTTGTCAAATATCATCCAAAATAGCAGGATGGAACTATGGAACGTTGGATGTTCGTTTAATAAAACACTCTTCAGTTCTGCTATGATCAATAGTCGTAAGGCCGAATCAATTACAGAGTCGACTAGCACTTATACCCTAACATTATCCAAGAAAAGTTTACCAAATTTGAAATAGCCTATCTATAAAAAAGGGGTAGACACAATAAAAAAATTTTCCGAATGATATTAACATCTGGTGAACAGTGAAATTACCGCTAGTGAATTTATCAATGACAAAACAATGTCTAATTACATTCATTGAAAATTTATTACAAACATTAACTTAGTGTTTAATTTCAGCAGATTCTATAAAATAGTGGTGGTTCTTTTAGAAAAGGTGCAAATAGCCTATTGCGTTTTATTCATTTTTACAACGCGCTGTCATTAAGTTTTAATTGCTTTAATGATCAATCTTCTTTTTTACAAATACAATTGCCGAATCCTTGAAAGGTCAGGTTTATATTTCAGATAATAAGAGATATATTGGAACTTTAGTTTGGGTATAAATACAAAACCCTCAAAGGGAACATAATTTCATTAAAAATTTTCTTATCATGTCCTTTGTACGACTAATGCCTTCCGTAATTTGAGTGACTTATATGATCATTGAAAATGATCAACCCTTTATAGCAATAAAAACACAAGGAGATATGGTATGATTTCCAATGAGACAACTATCCACCAGAGTCAGCTATAATAGGCCTCAGCATGAACAAAATGAAACGATCAAACAAGTAAACTATACTTTCTTTAGACGTTTGCAATTAATGTCTTTTAAGTTTCGCTACGATTAGAAATAATAAATATGTTGTTTAAAAAAAATGCATACAACAGAAATACTTATACTCTCTCTCTCTGTCTGTCTCTCTCTCTCTCTCTCTCTCTCTCTCTCTCTCTTACATGTTTACCGTAATCCTGTCATTTTCAGAAATGTCTATTTCCCTGAAAACAATAAAATGTAATAATAATCAGTCCTGCATGCTATTATGAGAGTATGCAAATGGAAAAATGGAACACCAAAATACAATCACGTTGTACTTGTTATTATTGCTGTGCTATTGCTTGTAATTCCATTGTGGTCCCATAAACCAACGAGAATATTTAATCATATAGGAACGTTTGTAAGTTGATATGTATGTATTAGCAAAAAACATTTACTTAAGTTTATTGATCAAAGTAATAATTATTGGTATTCTTTCCGGAAAGCTATCAATTTGTTGATTCATAGTTTGAAGCAAAATTATATTTTTTTCTTTTTAGTTTGTTTTGAGCATTACACCAGATCATGTCTTCCTACGCTAATTATTATAAGTTTGCTATAAAAGATACTCTATTTGTAAAATGATAACAACAAGTCATGTCTAGTTTAGGACGATATGAATTCTAATCAGCAGGTTAACTACGTTGGACTTGCTTTCAGTAACTGATACCTTTCTTTCGTTCATACGAAGTAGTTTGGCATTTATTTTGTGTTTATATCTAGTATACTTTGTTCAAGTGCTTTCCATGAACTGTTTTATTATAGTTTGTGTATGTTGGTTTTCGTTATGTACAGACAGAAAATTATTAAGGGAAAGATTTAGATATTAAAAACACTAGTTCGACTTATCATAGCTTCCATGTGCTTGTCTAATAACACAATAATTCATTCCTGAGATTTGTATCACACTAATATTTTTTATAATTTAATTTTTTGTATTCAAATGCCTCCAACTAAAAAAAAAACAAAAAAAACAATTGACGATATTGTGAACAACTCTAAGGAAAATGCTTATACAAGAAATTTAAACTCAATTGGAAGTATAAAATCGTCACGTATTTTTTTTTTCTTTTTTTTATTTAGTTTGGCCGAAACAATAAAAAAGCAGGTTAGATCAAAATTATTGTACTCCTCGAATATTCAATATACAAAATAGGTCCCTACGAGCGAAAAATCAAGTCTTGTTACCGTATCTTTTTTTTAAATTTAATGTTTTGCAGACATTTCATATATCAACTTTACTTCGGTTACGATTCTCTTGTCAAAATAAAAACTGGCGACAGTTTTCAAGGTTATTTGTTCACGAACAGATGAAAAACAACATGTGACCTTCGATTAAATTCAGACAAATTGTTATTGAGACGTACACATTTGTATATTGACCTTTTTATTTCGGTGTCTGCTATACGAACTACACAGTACTCTGCCATTATATCAAGACAGGAACATTTTAAGTACTTGTCGTATCTCATTACTTGAAGCCTAATGCAATTCAGATAATTTAGTTTAATTGTGTGTCGAAAAAGAGAATGTAGGTATCTTACAAGGTGATCTAAATTTAACCCTCTCAAGAGTTGGGGTTAAATATTAACGTCTAAAAAACTAACGGCTTACTGAACATAAGAAGGATGGTGTTCGGTAGATTGATGATAATATTTGATTTTCAATTTCAATGGTTAACAAAAAAATCAAATGTATAGGCAAATATCTGTCGGTGAAGATTGTGCGTTGCTGTCTATGAAAGTGTATATAATATATGACTTTTTGTCGTTGTGTAACTGTCCTTTCGGCGTTTATCTAGCATATTGTTTATTCATGTATAAATGTATCTTTCCTTCAGATAATATACTATAATAATTCATACGAAACGGATAACAAAATATAAAAACACAAAGAAGAGTAATACAAGAAAACACGACCTTTACTCATGTTAAACGAAACCTTACTTTTAATTTGCAAGTTATACATAGTATAACTATGAAGGGGGCAATTCTTTATTTTATGCTAACTAAAAACTCATTAGAAGAAGAATTTATGTTTTGGGAGTATTGGTTCATTTTTGTTTCCATTCTCATACGTGTAAGTAATTGTTTATTTACCCTTTTGCTCTTAGTGCACCATTTCCCTCTGCTTCCTTTGTTGTTTTCAGCTTTAAATCAAAATTTGAGTTGTACAAGAAAACTGAAATCATATAAAGCAAGTGCATATAGATTTCAACTACCTGTGTGGTTTATAGTTTCGTATATTTCTCAAATGAATAAAAAAAAATGTTATGAAATATACATACAAACAGTCTATCTCTGAAATAAAACAAATCGGTTCAACGCATCTATCAAGAGAATAGTTCTGTTTAATGAATAAGAAAAAAATGATATAAACATTCATATTGATTTTGCCAAAACATGCGTTCTGATTCGAATCGGCCGTATTAACTCAAAATAAATATAATCTTTAATAACCCAGCTAGTATTAGATATACCCGAACTAGATTATAACTGTGTAAATATTTACATAAATACCAAAGGGTACAATTAAAATCACTCACTTTAGTATTTCGAAACAATTTATATATTACCTCTCTCAAACATAGGGCGATAATTGAGGGTTACTTTATTCCCAATTCCAGAATCCTGTAGGCCACGACATCTTTTATAAAGTTTTCCACACAGATGAGGACAGATGAACCAAAGAATTGCATGAATGATTGTTGCTGGTAGTACAAGTAATTGAAGATGTACTGGAAAAACCGTCTTGAGGCTGTATTCTTCAAGGAAATCAGTCTGAATTTGCGCCCAGTAAAACTCAGATTCTTGATGAACTTTTTGAAATGTATCACTGAAAGAAACAAAAAGGTTCTATTACAACTAAGCATTTTTGTGTTACCCTTGTCCGTCCGTCCGTCCATAAGTACGTACATATGTTTCAAAAATTAGTTTCCGTCTCTAACTAAAATGTGCCTCAACCAAATGTTTTGAAACTTATCCACAATGCTAGTAACCATAAAACACAGATTTAATTCATATTTCGGTGGCGTCATTTTTACTGTTCTTGAGTTATGCTCCTTGTTAATATTATATCCAAGCGGTGGCATCATATGTGTTCCAAGGACACATTCTTTATTTATTTCCTAAGGAAGAATACAAAAAAAAAATTGAAAAGGAAACACGTATATTTGCTTTGTTTCGAAAATTATGTTAAACGCAAATAAGCGATGACCATAGATCACACATGAAAATACATTTTTTTAGGAAACAAAATACTGAAATACCTTATAAAATCCTAATTTTATGTAATAACAAAGAAATTAGTGAAATCATTGTTCGTTTGTGTTCAATCCTATATCTTTTAAAGCATTCAAAGCATATAGCCTCTATATTTAGTTTCCCCCAAACACGAAAACAAGGGTTATTTCTGATCATACAAGCATTTTTATAAGCCTTTCCTAAGTCAATATCATGTAATTCAGTGGTTGTCGTTTGTTGCTGTATATCATATGTGTTCTTTGTTCATTGTTTTGTACATAAATCGGGCCGTTAGTTTTCTCGTTTAAATTGTTTTATATGTAGTTTTGGGGATGTTATAGATTACTATTGAATATTGGTTTTGCTCGCTCATTGTTCAGATACAGTGACCTATAGTTGTTTACATCAATGTTATTTGGTCTCTGGTGGAGAGTTGTTTTATTGGCAATCATACCACATCTTCTTTTTTTTATATTTTGAAAAATCTATTATCCTTGATCAAACATACTGCATCGACAGTTTTCATTATAAGAAAAAAATCAGTTTGATTCTTCATTACAGCGTACTTAATATTCATATTGTTTTTGAGTTAAAAAATGCGTTATACATGTACCTGTACATAGCTATCAGCAGATTAAGGAGTAAGATAACTGCTATTAATCCGTACAGGGCTTTCAAGTAGGGCGTAAGGTATACACCAAGCTGTGCAGGGCATCGCTGCATATCAGTACTTTCATAAACAGTTCTGTTAAATGTGCAGTGCGGTTCAGATACTGAAATAAAATCACATGAACTTGAAAAGCAATTATAAAACGCTATCATATTCTTTACATTCTTTATTGAATCTCGGTATCGTACTCTTTGTTTTCTTTAATTATATGTCTTGATATCCAGTTATTTTCCAACCGTCATACGACGACAGATTTGTGGTGTGATCCCACCAACCTAATGGGTATAGTATGACTGTACAAAAGGTACTCCTAGAAGAAATGTTAGACACGTAAATGTACACAAGATATAAGACAGAAGACACTTAAACTTTGATTTATTTTAACTACAGGTACAGTTTGAAATTCCATAGGAATATGTATGTTTTCTTTCCTAACTTATGATATTTTCTTGAAAGTTTCAAAGTAACATGACTATTTGTTGATTATATCCCATGTTCGTTAACGGTAGCAATATCAATATGACATCTTTACTTTTATTTCATTCGAGGTGTACACTTTATTCATCAGTTGAATATCGCTAAATACTATAAAGATCTAATCATACTTTTTCATATTAAGGAATATCAACTGAATATTGCCACTCGGATAGAGAAATAGTAATTTTCAATCTGTCAATAATTTGAGTAAAATGTTGAACCAGAACGACAATTTATATGCAATGCTTTTTTTTTATATTATTACGAATGATTGAGTGTATAAGTAATAAAATTGAGAATGGAAATGGGGAATGTGTCAAAGAGACAACAACATGACCATAGAACAGACTGTTTGTTCAAATACCACAAACTTGTTTTAGTTCAATGCTGTTCGATTCAATTTTGATACCATATTTATCGTAACAACAAAATTGCACACACTGTAAACAACTATTACACTGACACAGCTATCTCAGTGAAGTCCCCAAAAGTCAAATGAATCTTCTTCAAGTTTCGTATAGTGTTAGTCGTTTACAACAAAAATATTATAACATCAATAAGTAAATAATGTCAAATTGTATACTAAGCGATATAAGGAGATATAGTTCTTTAATATAGTAAAACTTGTATAAAGGAATATTCATGACATTTCCTCTTTAGATTAGGGACTTTCCGTTTACTTTTTCAATGTTTACTTGTAAGAAAACAAGTTCGGTGACACCATACTTTAAATTTGATGTCTAAAAGCATACTTAGTAATTATATTCTATATGTTATTTAATCATATCTGTTAGATTTCTTTTTAATCACATCAAACAATTTTCATGAATAATCTATCAACAATATTGCAATTTTGCACGGTAACCAATACTTTTTATTTTCTTTTAAATATAAGCCAGATGAATCTACAGGTTGGATACCGACCGTGCAAGGGCTGTATAGCCAGTCAAGGTCGTTAAATACTTCCATTTGTTGTACAAGTTGGAAAATAATAAGTAAATATTATCTGAGAAGCTACAACCAAAATAATGGAGATGACTATGACTATCCTATTCAAAATTCTAGAAGAACATTCAGTCGAAACTGGTGTTTTGTTAAGATGATTGTTTTGGAACAAACCTTACATGATAGACATATGAATTCACCTCTTCGAATATTTTATTCATTTTCATTTAAAAGGTTGGGTTTGCAGACACAAAATAGTTTCGTCAGCAGTAATTATACACAGCTCTTTGTCCTTTTGTCATTTTACATTTGGCAAAGGCGTCGAATTCATTTCTTTAGGTTATGGTCTTTGATTGCCCCGAAAATATTGTTTTCTTGTAATTTATATGCAACGATTCTTGTTTTATTTCGTGCAATTATTCTACTATTTTTCTTTTTCATATTATGTCAAAAGTAGAAGCAAGATGATGACCGACAGTTACATTTGTGCAGATACTGGCTGCGAAACCTGTTTTAGATTTTCTAGGTTAAACCAAACTTTTATTAATACTTACGTGTGTCACTATCTAGGTTAAGTTCTCCAAATAACATCCAGAAACCATTTTGTATGATCTTTTCAATCTGAAGCCAGCTGAACTCGGAATTAGGATATAAAAGTGCATGGAAAGATATGTTGTAACACATCATTATGACAGCCATGATAATCATAAAGGAAACAGTATCTCGAGCCTGAAATGAAGACGATACTGTAAAATACAGAACAGCGCATTTTTTTTTTGCCACTGTCTTGTTTTAAAAATAGTATTGAGCGCTCGCGAACATGTTTACCCCGACTCATTATATCTGAATAATAAAGGCAACAGTAGTATACCGGTCTTCAAAAGTCATAAATCGATTAAGAAAAAAACAAATCCGGGTTGCAATCAAAAATCCGAGGGAAACACATCAACTATAAGAGAAAAACAAAGGAACATCAAGAACACTGATGTGCAACAAAAACAAACGCCAACATACATAGAAACAAACTATTTGATAGCAACTGTAATATTCCTGACTTGGTACAGTACATTTTAAGAAAAAAAAATATGAGCCTGTCCAATGACAGAAGCTCACAAACCAATAGTATTGTAATTGTAAGTAAACATGCAGTGTTAAGACTGATTTAGTTATCTCACCATCGAAGACATGAAGACGTGTGAATAGCTACGAAAATTGAAACATATTAAAATCAAATACTTCATATTTACGACTAAGGATCCTTGATTTAATAGCTTTCGTGTAAGCATCAACCCTTTACCTGGTAAACAATGATCGGAAATAAAGCTTTGAAATATCGTAGCCACTGGGACATATCTACTCAATATAGAGGCGTATATTTGCCAATGTTGCGGTTTTTTTTATGATTTATGGTTAATGAAAAAAGAAAGCATTAAAAAAAAAAAACAATTTAAGATTATCAATATCATTCATTTTCTTTTAACTGTTTCGGATTTCACAAAATATATACCTCGAAATTTAAAAATAAAAAAACAATATCTTCCTCCACTAGCTTACCGCCAGATTTACAAAGCCAATCGACAAAACCAGTTTTAGTACAAACATCAAATCAATTGCAACAACTGAAATCTAGAAAGTATTGTTAGAATTGATATACTAAGTACACTTTCGGACATTGCCCATCAACTAGTAGAGCTAATTTTCAGTATGAAACACAATCAAGTAGTACTATCTCGTTTAGAATAAGATTAAATAATTCGAAGAGTCATTATCAGATTATATATTGATAGTCATGCATACCATTTTTCGTATCATGACTAACTTTGGTCCTAACATTGCTGACATGCAGAACAGATTTAAAATTCTTATTGATAAGAAAATAAATGCTGCCACCAATAAAACTTTGGATGCATCTCGACACCGGGGTCCTTGACATAACTTCAGCAGCATTCCAGATGCATAAACTATGATGGAAAGCCAATCTAATAAGTTCCAACAATCACTTGCATAACTCTTCCATTTTGTTCTAATCATAGAAACGACGAGCTTAAATTAAAACATAACAATCCAGTTGAAACATTCAATATTTATTAATTTTTCCAAATACATGCACATACGTTTGTCCTCTTAAAGCATATTTATTGCAGTAATAACAGTAGTATAATATAGAAATATAAGATAGAAAAAAAAATATATTTCAAACCGATAGTTACCCTTCTAAATGTATAACAAATATGTTACCAGAAGCAATATTATTCAGAAAAATTAAATTGTTAAAGAAAGAAATAGTTTTACCCTGATCACTTAATAACTATGTACTTGTTAACAAAAGTGGAACGGAACTATCTACAATCTTAACTTTAAATCCTGCTGAATAAACTAAATAATTATTAGGTTTTTTTATAGCTATATTTCTCGACAATTGCACAACATTTTGCAATGACAGAGAATTTCAAGATTAAGTTTACAATCAGTGTTTAAAATACGATGTAGAACACCTTTTTTCATTTGGTTAATGCAGTTCACTCTTGTAGAAGTCACACGACCAAAGGGACACTAACCCGAATGATGGTGTACCAAAACTATACCACATGTCCAACTAAATTATACAACAGAATTTTGATTAAAGCGATGGTTTTAATATCATATTTACTGAGACTACATATATGTTACGAAATTACTACCTTCGTGTGATTAATCTATTTATCAAGTCGAATTAAAATGAAAACAAGGATACTACAAGTTCAGTTAAGTACGTTACATATATTCTTTTTATTGGCTACATCAACGAATATTTTGATATACCAAACTATGTAGCTGTACCTCAGCGGCACTTACTTATAGAGAATGCTTTTCCTGGTTGAGAGCTTGCGTAACTGTAATACTTTCACTACTGAGATTTGTTAATACTAACATTATGTCATCAAAAATCCTACGTTAGACATATCAGGACCATAATAGGTACTGCTCATCCGTAGAGAGTATCAATACTAATCCCGGTTTCGTAGGCATTTTCATGGGCTTCGTGTGTCTGTAAAATTTACATTTTGAGCAATGTTTTGTTGTCTGTTGTTTTTCTTTTCTGTATTTTTTTTTGTTTATTTGGCCTTGTTGCTCGTGTTGCTGTCTGTTTTATTTTTCGAATTTCGTATTTTGATAACCCGTTTTATATTTTCTCTTTTGATTTTTCATTCTAACATATTTTTGTTTTTCCAGAAACCGTCTACCATTACTTTACTCTTATTTATGTACAATCGCTGAAGCAAAGGTGAGTTATAAAAATAAGTATTTAAAAAAATAACCTGCTTGGTTTCATCCACAAAGAAACTGACCATCCATACTATTATGAAATAGTCCGTGTTTGTAATTCCGTCATCACTATAGTCAAACAACAGCATGTATGCATATGCAATATTGAGCGTTACAAATCCAAGCTGCAACATAAATCAAGAAATAAATCTGAATACAGAACATTAAAATCCTGTCCTACATTTCAATAACCTTAACATACGAATAAGACTAAGTAATGTGTGTTACAAATGATAACGTTCTACTTTTCCACTGAAAATATCTTATTTAATGAAAAAGAAAAATAAAACACTAACAGAAGACATCATTAGGCAATGTTAAAACAGCATAATAGCTCAAATATTTTTTATTGAGAATCTTAAAGGATGAAAGCATTTATAGATGATGTGATTTATTTGAGCTAGTGTTATACAGGCTGTAGAATTTAAGTACGATCATTCTTAAAAAAAAAAAAACACGAAACTAAACGACTGAAAATATTGCAGTTACTTAGTTAAACTTAAAAATACTTAATTGTTCTATAGAAATGTAAAATATGAACTGTCATACCATTTGCATGAATACTTTCATGAACGGAAGCTTATACTTCTTGTAAAACCTGGAATGATTAAATAACAGTGTTAATCTTTCTTATAATTGTTTCAGAATAACCAACAGCGGACTGTATTGAACGTTCATATAATGACATTTGTACAGTAGACTTTGTTACAATAGATGCATTGAAGTCTGACATAGATATCGTTTGAAAGTTTATAGACCAACCTGCTTAAAATATTGTTTCTATTAAGGAAATAATGATTATATTTTGATAACGTTAAGCAAATGTATAATTACTTATCAATTGTGTTCTTAACTGAATGTGTAAGTAGTCTATGAATGTCAACGAGTATTCGAGCATCGTTCGGTAGTACCGAGTATCAAATACCAAATCGATACTCGACTTATCGGTTTCCTGTTAGAATATTGCTGTTTTCTTTATATTAAATTGATCATCTTCAGAACCTCTTTCGGAAAATTAAATAAGCACTGATTCATCATGCTAGTAAATAAAATACATTTTGTTTCGAATGATTGTGCTAAGTTGTCATTTAAAATACCTCGGAAAATACGTAGGCTATTCCTAGGCTAACACTTTAAACTTTTGAATTAACCATTCCGTGACATCGGTACCGTCAGAGCAAATATTTTCGTCTGCATCACTGTAATTTACAAAGTTGCAAATGCGACTGTCCCCAATAGTAATTGACAAGAAAATGTTTCCAAATAAAATAAATTCATTGAATCCTCTGATGACCATCAGTGAATAGTTAAACTTCTAATCTTTACGCTTTTGTAAACATTAACATGTGCTTTCTTAACGACTACCAAATACTATTCTGTGATATGGTTTTTCCTTGTTATAATTTTTAAATCGATGTTCTTTAAATCATACTGATAAGATTATTGTTTTCACTTACTTATTACTTGTAGGTAATGAGCTATCAATTATGTAGGTTAATTTTGCTATTCAGATACTTATGTAGATGGTTTTTGTCCGTTGAACAACACACCACAGAATGTAAAGTACGTATTTTTGTGTTTTTTGTTCCAGATATATTCCCGAGCGAGTACTCGAGTTTCGCTCGATAAAACCAATGAGTACTAGATTAGGAATTGTTCACCCAGTTGAGATCCCTAGTAAATACGAGGCAAATTTCAATGCTTAACAGCTAAATACACTTAAGTCGTTCTATTATTTTTTTGACAGGTAAACTCAGATATTTACAGGTAATAATACTTATCTATTTATTAATTTATTCAATTATTTACAATAACAATTTTTCTCGGCATATAGCTATTGTCAAACTCTTCAGGTCTTATTCAATAAGTATTTCTTTTTCTACATGTATATTCATTAATTCGCAACGGACTAATTTCATAGGTCTAGCAGTTATGTCTTCTGTCGCCTTTATCTTAACCTCAACACGGATAATCTGCCTCTCAAGTTTTCCAGAATCGGACTCGTGTTTATGTTCACAGTTACCATTTAGAATGGCTGTTGAATGTTCATCCATCGTATACTAATAATTTTTTTTTACCCGATTTGTTTCAGACAAACGAAACACTATTCACTCTGAAATATTCTCAATCAAGTTACATGTATGCCTTAAGCTATAACGGGATTTATCATGATCACTTTATATTTTGTTTAAGAGTTCAATATATATGATCAATATATAATTTGAATTTAATATTTTTTTTCAAAATAAATAATTTATAGTCATATTAATTATGAAAATTAACAAATTTTAGTCATTTATATTATTTTTACCTGCGTTTACCTGTAAAAATAAATGCGCGCAAAGGTAAAAATATATAATCCCCAAATGCGCGTAAACGTAATGCGCCCATCCTATATATATGATTCACATACACGGGATACACAGAATAATAGATTCCTCCAAATTGTTTTGTTATTGATTGTTTTTTTTTTTTTTTTTTTTTTCTTATTTTAATATACAATGAATTTATCTTGTTAAAAACAACTACTTTTCATCATTTATCATTTATACAATACGCGAGATTATGCACTTGTGTTTCAAAAGTAACAAATCCTATCGAGTTGCTGGATTTTTTCTTATCTCTTCTTCAGTATATACAATATTATGATTTTTTTTCCATTGTATTTGGCTAGCTTTTCTAGTTGCAAAATTATTCTTTAACTCCTTTTTATATCACTACAAATTATTTTTAATTGATGATGTATAATCAATTTTACTTCACACGAGGGCCACACTTCTTTGTAGAACCTCATGTTCCTTTTAATTACTTTCAGTGGATTGCCCGCCATGATACATCAATCCATCAACGACTTAAAAGTAAGGATGGAAACTATAAACAACATGAAACCTTTACTTAAAATTTTGCATCTTATGTGTTTTCTAGAATGTGCGTATAATAAAATCCTCATAAGTTTGTGAAAAATTAAATTGTTTTTTTCGTTTAGTTTTTCGTTGACTGGGTACAAGATAATCATATGTTTTTAAGTATAATGTAAATATCGTTAATCAATATTTTTAACTGCAAATATTTTAACATGTTTAATAGAAATGTACTATTGTTCAACATACATGTGTATACAACACAATATTATCTGGCTGAAAAAAGTAGCAAATATTCTAACGACCAGCAATTGTTATCAAATACTTTTAAAAATAAATGCGCTAAAATTAAGGGCACATGGCAACAAAAAAACTCTTTTTAACAAAATTGTCATAACTGGTGATAAAAAAGGTTTGTGATCATGACAAAATCGAGACGAATACACCTTATGAATAAAGAGAGATGTGATAGATACGTCAAGGAGACATCAACCTAACAACACAAATAACTAAAAGCCGTCAACAATAGACCGTGTACAAAATACGTCAAACTTGAAATGTTTCGATGGTCCTACAGTTGTATTTAGCACAAATACTTTAACTGTTTGGGAAGTGTGTACAGGGTACGGCTGTTATTTAGAACTGGGTAAAACTGATTAAGGATGAATTACACAACATAGGACCAGGTGTATTGTGACTACACCAGTCTAAACTGACATTTGAAACGCTATTTCACTTATAAAACAGCGCCTATTAGATATAAAAACACAAGAACTATATTCTTTGTCGGAAAACAGTAGCAAATATGTGTGTTATTTACAAAAATATAATCACAAACCTAGATTTACAATATCACTTGACTAAATATATCCCTCCTCTATACCAAAAGGCTACTAAAAATAATAAAACTATCTGCTCATTCACTAAATATTGAGACTGGTCGTTTTTTGAATGTACCAATAATGAATCGTTTATGCAAATATGTAGTCAATGTATTGAGGAAGAGTTCCACTTTATTCTTTTGTGTTCGGCACTACGTGTATAGACCGAGAGTATATAAACTGATACAGTTGTTAACTCTACAACTGAATGTTAAGAAGTTGACATTTTTGGGAAAATTTATTATCCTTGTTTTTAAAAGGTGGGACAATATTTTACAAAATAATTAACATTCTCTGTCTTCATGTTTTATTTCAATTATAATCTGTTACTTCTTGTTTACACCAATGAGCTGTATAGCTTAATGTATTAACGTATATATTATGTTGTATTTTTAGAAGACCTACTTTAAAACCGTCCTATAATACAGTAATGTGTGTGTATGTTTCTTGTTTGAATTATCATGTATGAGGGTATGAATGGCTTACCACCATGAATGAGGGTATACGTATGGATAAGGTTTACAGATGAGAAAATAAGTGTAAAAAAGAAAAGATTAAATGATTAGAAGAAAGAAATGAATACAAAAGTATAGAAAACAAATTAAAAGTGTGACGATATATAAAGAATAGAGAACAATTGGCAGAAAATCGAAGAGAAGAAATGGTCCAAAAATAAAAATCTACCACCCCACCCCCTAAATCACCACAACCATAACCATTCCATTTCATTCCCAGCACACACCACCACCAGTATCCACTTTCGCATATTTATATATCTATACAAATATTCAATTTTGATTTCATGGTGTCCCCCAGACATCGGGGTTCTGGGTCCGCCCCTGTCATATTAACATGTGGTCCGTGATAATGAATAAACTTGCCAAATTTTTCAAATAGGTGACTTCCAGATCCAATAATTCGGGTGCAACATTGACTATACAAACCACCTTGTACTATAGTTTTATATGTATTTTATAATACATGATCAAAAGTCAATATTTTTAACAAATAACTTACTTACTTTCTAGCGGCAAACCAGAGTATGTCTTTGAGCAAACCAACTTGAGAAAAACCGCCCTTTTTTACTCTGATTATAACTCAAAATTGACTTTTAAAAAACAAGAATGTGTCCATAGTTCACGGATGCCCCACTCGCACTATCATTTATATGTTCAGTGGACCGTGAAATTGGGGTCAAAAATCTAATGTGGCATTTAAATTAAAAGATCATATTATAGGGAACATGTGTATACTAAGTTTCAAGTTGATTGGACTTCAACTTCATCAAAAACTACCTTGTACAGAAACTTTAACCTGAAGCGGGACATATGGACGAACGGACGGACGCACAGACCAGAAAACATAATGTCCTTCTTTATCGTGGCAAAAATAGAAGTTTTACTTTATTCCAATTGATACAAAAAAAAATGGCTCCGTTAATAAAGTTTTTTTTCGATTATTCTTTCATCGAACTACTATGAACCAAGGATAGTAAATCTATACACATCCTTGTATCAACTAATCAATTGGTAACGATCAAAAGACAATTGTTTATTGGATAAGGTCAATTAAACATGATGCTTGGGAATTTTAGTCGTGTGTCACGTGCAGGGTGGCACGCGCCGATCGTGATTAAAAAGTCGTTTTACTTCAAAAATTATAATATCAGTCTATTGATACAAAACTTCATTTTCATACTTTACATGCTTATATCTTCTTGTATCCATGTTTGTGTGCTCCTAAAACATCCTGTAGTGCATTAATGCAAAAAATTTGTTCTTGGTACACCCAGAGACATATGTGTCTTTTGATCCATTAAGAAGACCTTCGTAGTACTTCTATACATGCATCGCTGG